CACGCGCGCACACAACCCACAATATCCTTGATTGCGGGGCTCATGCGACACCCAGCGCATGCGCCGCTGACATAAAAAAACACGAACTCAATCCGGGCGACTTCCTGAGCGCGGCACGGTCTAGTCGACACCGCCCTGACATTCGAGAGCCCGTCTCGACAAACTCCTGGAGGTCCTCGTAGGGCCTGATTGGAAAGTATTTGGGGTTGCCTGCGCCGCGTTGGGACAGCACTGGGTCGCTGCGCGACTTCACTCGAAATGGCCCCTCCTATGTTGTAGTCTCACCTACAAGCGGTCCTCCTCCTCCTCCGTCCCCCCCCCTCCTTCTCGTCTTCCGTTGCTATATCTTAACGAAAGCATCACAAACCACTCAGAATCCCTCCTTCTCCTCTTCCTCCGTCCCCGTTGGTCATTAGGTTCCGTCCTCCCCCAAGCATTCCTCCGCACTCTCCGCCGTCTCCCCCTTCCCAACGGCCTCTAAGAAAGTGCGAAAAGAGGCCGATGGGGCCCTGAAAGGGCCCAAGAAGGCCCCCCAAAAAATCCCAAGAAGGTTCCAAGAGCGACCCCTGTGAGCACCTGGCGACGCCTCGCCTAACGGAGCTCGAAGCGACACTGCTCCGCGCTTCCCTGGGCTCCCGAGACAGCCCCTGAAACAATATCGGAGAACCTCTGGAAAACCACAAGAGAAACCCGGGAGGGTTCCAAGAGGACGCCGAGAGGTCTCAATTCCAAATCGCACCGCGCGACTTGAAACCGAACAACCTTGAGACTTGAGACCCCATCGGGGGGGCCTCTCGGAGCCCCCTCGGGGCCCAAGACTGCCTGGGAGGAGCCAGAGAGGGACCTTGCGGGGCCCCGAAAGACTCCGAGAGAACCCCAAACGGACACTAAGACCGAAGACCGCAAACTGCAACGCATTCCTTTGTGCTCCCCCTCAAAATGACAACTTTAAATGCCCCTTTCTGGGCCCTTCTGGATCCGCCGTGAGGCCCCAAAAAACACCCCAGCACTGGGCCGAAGAAGGCCCCCAGGGGGCACCAGAGGCGCTCCAAGATGGCCCCGAGGAAGCCCAATAGGGCCCAACTTCAAGTCGCACCGCGCGACCTGAAATAGCGGCTCTTCGGGGCCCAGGCGGGGGGCCTCTTCGGGCCCTTCTGGGGCGCGCAGAAACTCCCAGAGACCACCAGCGAGCTTGCAAAGCGGAGCATATGGAACATCCCCAGGGAGCGCTTTCCCGGCGGGTGGCCGGGCTTCTCGAGACCCCCAACACGGCCTCGCGCCATCCCTGGACGACCGGGTTGACAGCACCCTGGGCCACGCAGCCCGGCTTCGATGCAGCTCGTGCCGTGCCTTCTGCTGGCATGCGGCGCGATCGTCCTGCACGCCGCGCCAGCGGGGAGGGAACCGAGCGTGTGGGCGCGGTGGGACAGTAATGGGGAGGAGGACAGCGAAGAGCAGGAGAAGACCCCTCCTCCATCCTCGTCCCTCCTCCTGCTCATCCCCCCCCCCCCCCCGCATTGGCTGGCCTTCGCCAGGAGGACGAAGGCTGGGTCGCCGCGCTCGGGGAGCGCCGGCGCGAAGCGCGGGCCACTGGCCCCGCCGTCGGACGGCGAGCCAGAAGATTCAGACGCCGAAGCGGGAGCCGTGAAGACTGCCTCGTGACTTTTGGCCGCGGGCGGCCCCGCAACAGAATGGGGTCATTTGGGAAAGCGAGGTCCTCCAGGACAGCCCAGTCGGCAGAGAGACACGAATGCAGCGCAACAGGAAGGGGTGGGTGCGGGTGGCAGGACGTCAGAGGTGGTGCGAGCGCACCTCGCACACATTCCCGACTCACGCTTCCTCCCCTCATCCCCCCCTCCCCATCCCCTCATCCCTCATCCCCTCATCCCTCATCCCCTCATCCCCCCTCCCCCTCATCCCTCATCCCCTCATCCCCTCATCCCCTCCCCTCCCTACATTCCCCCCCCTCCCCTCCCCCCCCTCCCCCTCCTCCCCACTCCTCCTCCCCCTCCCGCCCTCATCCTCTTCCACATCCTCCTCCCGCTCTCCTCCGCCTCTCCCCCACTCTCCTGCTCCTCCTTCCCCGTCTCCTCCTCCGCCTCCTCCTCCTCCGCCTCCTCCTCTTCCTCCCCAGTCCTCCTCCTCCCTATCCTCCTCCTCCCCCTCCTCTCCTCAAGCACGTGCGGCCCGAAGCCCATCCGTGGCAGTTGGCGCTTCGCTGCGCCCGGGGCCGCGCCACAGTGTCGCGCGGCGCTTGGGGGGGCTCCGACTCGTGCCGCGGCTGTGCACTTCCGGCAGCTGTCGGCTGGCGCACTCGCTGAGCGCAGTCAGCGTGCTGCCACAAGGAGCGCTGCATAACAAACGAAGGGGCTTTCCTGGTCACGGCGAGACTC